CATAAAACTAACTTTGTCAACTAGTTCTCTGCATAAACATATATCACAAAAAGACTTTCTTTTCTTAAACATATATAGTGAAGGGTCGAACCTTTCCCAAAAATTGAGTGGGGCTCCGCTACGGAAGAGATGCGTCATAGTCATCAATCGATTGATAATTTCCTTGGACATACCTAGGCTGAGATATCGGCGAGCTAAATACAGGCCAATGTCTTTTGGAACACAAGAACAAAAAAAGAAAATCAATTCAAGTTATCATCGAAGAAAAAAAATGAGATGAGCGAGTGAAATCCTACCCGAATGGCCAGCCTCAATAACTGACTTGACGATAGGTTCAATTTCAATTTCTGTTGGGCTCTCTGGTGAGTGATGTGCCAGGTACCAAATAAGCTCCTTTTGCCTAGGAGCATTAAGAGTATTAAGAGCAATCTTGACGGTATTAATATCTCACTCTTCAACAAGGGTAATTTGTTTAATAATGTCTCTACGATCCTTATTCTTCCTCCCTCGACAGCAAGGGGAAGGGCCTCAAGGAAGATGGAATCTTCGTCAGGCATGCGACTGACCAGAATCTCGACCAATTCATCTTGGGCAGCTTCGATCGCAAGCTGGAGCACATTTAAGCATCGACCGTTCATGGTCACAATAGTCGCCCTTATTAAATTACCGTCTCGATTGACTAATGTCTCCATGGCATTCAGATCACCATTCCATATGGCATCAAATAAAGGCGAATACATTGGAGGCAAATTCATTGTCCCTCTTTCTTGGTCATCCGTAGCCATTGCACCTGCTCAAAGTTTCAATGAGACGCGGATGCAAAAGAAGGGCGGTCCTTTACCCAACTAAATGATGTTCATGCATGAGTGCATAATCAAGGGAAAGTAAACAACCGCAACCAATACCGTTGCGGAAACAAGAGATCGAACAGTAAAATAATTCGATCGTGTGACCTCGCGAAATAACCTTTCAATTTCACAAAGCAATTGTACAAAATCTTACCGCAAGATTTTCACGGCTTCAAACAATTAATTCTCTCAGATGAAATCCCGAAGACGAGCTCCAATTGGATGAAGGACCAGACGCACATCAACAACTGCACTTGAAGACTCCACTCTCTGAATCTATAATTATATCAACGTAGACAATTTCTTTTGCCGACCTCAAACAGGAAAGTGAATTCCGTGTATTTTCAGACAGTCTTATACCCAATATTGGACTTTCCATTGTTGACAGATTCTAAAAAAACCGGATAAACAAATTCAACACCACTTAAGCAATTCAGAAGAAATAAATATCTTCCAAGAATCTACATGATAACGCTTTCTCCTCGTGTTGTTTGTGCATGTCTGCAGTGTATCCTGGGGGCTAATGTGAAGAATATTGCTCCTCAACGAAATGCACTCTAGATGGCAATGCATCTTTACTATAAAAAAAAAATAGCAATAGTTTTGAAACAAGCAAGCACGACCGTGTTTTAAACATTTTTTACAATTGCAGTCGCGCATGAAAATATTCATCAATTCACAAACTGAATATAATTGTCAAAATAAAGAGTCGAATGCCTAATTTTACGCAACTTAAAGCATCAATAAATTATGCTCGAGCCATGGCGATCCAAGTTAACTCTGAAAATTGAAATTATGATCATCTGGTGACTAAGTAAAAATGAATTTTATTTTAAAATTTAAGTATGTTGGGTTTTTTACGACAGTGCTTTTTTTCTTTTTGTACAACCCCACTTTTTCAGCGTGCTAGCCAACTTTCAAAATTTTCACTTACTCGGTAATTCTTTGAAATCTCATTAAATTAGGTTAAAATACATGTGTGGGTTGCTAATTTGACTTTTATTGTATCTAGAGTTGGTGAAAATATTTTCGCGAGTACACTGCAATAGAATTGAGTTTTGATATTTAAGTAATTATTCAAAGTATTAAAAAAGTTCACAAGCATCAAATACATTTTCTTCTTGTTGGTATATCTATCTATCTAGTTTTTATAATTATTTTCTTTTCTTTTCTGCATAAAATTTATATATATATATCTCTTTATTATTTTTTTCGTATTAAATAAAATAGCGATACAAAAAAGAATTATTGGGATAGGTATTATATAAATTAAATGGGTCAAGTAGGAATTTTCATTATCTTTATGGAAAAAATAATTATTGTCCAATATTTGAGAATTTTCTATGAAGATTTACTTTCCGAATTTGTCCGTCGGTTGCCCATTCCCATTGAATGGCAATTTGTGATCCGCAAGGCACGTTATTCCGTTCCCTTAGCCAGACCAAGCATATATTGTGTTTCAGCGTTCTTCTTCTTCTTCTTCTTTTATTGTCCTTTTTTATTAAATTAAAATTGTGTCGGGATATAGTGGTCTCATGGAAACTCTAACGTAACTAATATTTGCACAGTTAGGTGCAATTGTGATGCCACGTCACTATTGCAAAAGTCCATCATTCACGCCTGCAACGACGCCCTTCTCTCTCTCCCCACTCTCCACTCACGACCAAGCTATGCTCTCTCGTCCGACTTACCACGCCTCCGCCTCCACCTCCACCCCGCTTCGTCCATCGCCTCCGCCGTCGCCTCCATTCAATTATCATTCGATTATCATCAAACCAACATCGGAGAAAATAACACAACCATTAACAACCGAGCTCGTAAAACAAGATGATTGAGGGATTCCCCTTGACCGAGCTCATGATTTGATTCCCCATTTGCTAGTGCGCATTGCTCGAAACGTCAAGCTCTCAAGCTACTCCCTATTTCCTCTCGCCCTTTCCTCTCATGAGCTTCTCTTCCCGAACCATCATCGCCCGATGCCCCCATATCTCCAAGTTCCCGTCGATCCGCCGGGCCACTCCCAATCTCTCCTCCTACGCAACACCTGCGAAAGCCAGACCGTCCAACCTCGAGATCGTCGTGTCCAGAGTCCGCGTCGGAAGCAGCGAGCACGAAGTCCTCCGTTCCCTCGAGCACGACCCCTCCTGCTCCTCCATCGAGGTCTCCAACCACGCATCAGTTTGCACGAAGTAAATGCTTCAAGAGTTTCCTCTGGCACAGTGATCTTGTGCCTCCAACCACACAACAGTTTTTCGAAGGTTTAAAAACCTAAGGGCAACGATAATCTACTACCTACCTAGTGTTGTTAAAACTTCAGTCAAACAATTTCAAGAATATAAAAATTGAAGCAGCCTCGCTGGGAAAATATTGAGAAACTTGTATCTCTATCCGAGCGATAAACTATGACAAATGAGGGGACTAAAAGTACTCGAGATGTCTTCCCAAAATTATTTTTACGAGACGAAAGAGGCAGAGTATCAACCTAAGCAAATTTGCAGAGAATTCTGGACAGGTGAACGGGCACAAGTGATCATCAGGGAACTAACAAGGCATTCATGCAAAACCGAAATACCAGGGTGATGGTGGTATAACAGAAATGCGATAACCATACCGTTGAGACAGTTATTCTCCCTAGTGACAGCTGGAATGGTGACCTGGTCAGTACACGGATAGCTTCCACTGCTGCAGTATATTATTCAAAGGTTCTCCCATTCCCTGCCCACCAAAATCAACAGAAGATTATGATAGCCAACACCAGTACCAATGCAAGATTTCTCTAGCACGAGAGAAAGTACTGACCAATTACCAATTTCATAGTTTGTCGCTCGGATAGAGATAAGAGTTTCTCTATATTTTCCCTGCAGTGCTACTTCAATTTTTTATATTCTTCAAATTGTTTGACTGAAGTTTTCCAACACTAGGTAGGCAGTAGATTATTGTTGCCCGTGGATTTCTAAACCTTCGAAAAACTGTTGTGTGGTTGGAGGCACAACACGGCCGCTCTTAAAGCATTTACCGTACTCACCACTGATCGATAGAGAGTAGCGAGAACAAGAAAGATGGTGTTGGTGTTGGCATTGGGGGATCTGCACATACCGCACAAGGCGCCTGATCTGCCCGCCAAGTTCAAGTCCATGCTCGTCCCTGGCAAGATCCAGCACATCATCTGCACCGGCAATTTATGCATCAAAGTGGGTCCCTTTATCCTTCTCTTGTTGTTGTTGTTGATTGAATTCCCCGACCCATTTGCGATCGTGATCTTATTTGGATTTCTTTTAGCAATTTCGCGTTGCTCGGTAGATGTTGTCTTTGTTTTCTTTTTCGTTTTTGGCTGCAGCTCCCATGAGGTGATGTAGCGATGGCATTTTTTGATTCATTGTTGTTTTCTTTTGATGTCATTTTAGTCTATGCCCTTTAACATATTGTGGGGATTTTTTGTTTTGGTAGGGGGGTTGGGGGTTACAAGCATTGTTCTGTTGGTGATTTTTCCTTTCCTTATTTTTGGCCTCACTTATGGGGCGTTACCTTGCGGCTAATGGATGCAGTTGAAAGTTTTGTTTGAAACACTAGATTGGTGTATTATTGGCACTCCGCAGTTCAGCCTTTTTTCTGAGAGAGGAGGCTTTTAGATCGCTAACCTTAAGTGCCTCATTGTGCAATTACCGGTTGTCTCGCAAATTTCTTTGATTTGTGGAAATTGACAATGTTCTTCGTCACTTTTGCTGTGCAGTTGCTGTGTCAAGGTTTCTTGCTTGTGTTGCAAATGGCAGTTCACTTACATGCGAGTTGCAAGTAAAGCTCTGTTGGGCATGCTATATGATAGGAATGTGTCTTATCTGTCATATCCTCCATTGTTTCCACTGAATTCTAATAAAATAACACTTTGGAAAGAACGGTCTTAGGTGCTGCCTGTAGTATAAAAGATTCTTGCGTTTATTTTCGTTTTGTTTAATTCAAAACGAAATTAAAAAAAGAACCCGTTGGAACCTGGAACCGACCCTGGAACCTATGACAGGGTAGGTTCCAGGTTCCACGTTCCGACGGGTAGGTTCCAGGTTCCAGGTGGAACCTACCGAAACCTGGAACCGCTCACCCCTAATTGGTGTAGAACAGGCTCTCAGACAGAGGAAACAGAGGAGATATTGTACTTGCCTATTCAATCTTCTTTTCTTTGTTAGGAGGCACTGGAATCTTCTTCAAGACGCGTTCATCAAATCTTTTATATTGCTTTTGTAGAATGCTGTGTGTTATGCACAGTTTATCATTGATGTGGTCCTGATACTTGTCGTACACGAAAGGAACAGATAAGGCAAGAACGACCCCTGCAGGTAGCATAAAACGAAAACCAAAATAACAAATCATCTCGCAATTATGAAGCAATAACAAGGATGAGGCGATAGGAAACAAAAGCACTGGGTGTGCAGCTCTCAACAATATAAACTAGGGTAAGAAAGTTGAAGAGACTGCCGATGTATGAAATTACCCCCAAGCCACAGGTAACCTGATTAGCCATGTAACGGGAAACTAATATGCCCTTTCCAAAAAGTTGAAGGAGTACAGGAAACTTGGGAGAGTAAATGAATTAAACTTTCCCAAACCTGAAAGGAGAGCTTCAAGTTTCGATTGACCGTTATCTCACGTTCAAAGGATAAAGCATGGTTGATCCATTCTACCAAAATGTCAGCAGCTTTGGCTACAGAATCCTCAGAAACCTCTAGGTCAAGGAGAGGAGGCAATGGTCTGGACATTTGCACACAATCAAATAAAAATTAAGATAACCAGTAGATTTCACGGGGCTGTAATGTGCAACTCTTGAACGAAGAAAATGAATTTTCCCAATCACATCCTGGATTTCCATGATAATCAATCCTCGGCGCTCCAAGTTCGATATATTGTTCCCAAGTTAGAGCTTAAAATGCATCTACAGAAAACCTAACATCTTTTCTCCTCCTCTCAAAAACAATGGCAGTCCAGTTTTCTACATTGATCCTCCAAAAGTTGCCATTTCAGAATAAATGGATTCTCATTTCTCTAACACCTACGCCTCTATCCCCCTTTGTAACACAGCCAGCCCCTACGACATCTCTATGGGAACAAGCATAACCAGAACTCAAAGAGATATCAAACGAGACGTGAGAGAATGGAAACGCGAGGTACCGACCGATTGAGGAGGGCAGCAGATTTAGCCCAGAGGAAGAGTATTAGGACGAGAAGGAACAGAGTATTCGCGGCGAAGGACAACAGATTGTAACCGGCTCTCTCGAACAGGAACCACATCGCCGTCGAAGAGAGCAGGAGCGCGACCCCGGCCAGCCATCTTCTCCACAGAAGCAAATCAGCAACTAGCACAGGACACGAAATCAGTGAATCGATCGAACAGTCTCGCAGATCAACGATCACGTCAAACGATGGCGGAACAAGTAATAGACTAGTCCTACTGCTAGATGAACCGATGAGACGCGATCGACGTCCACCTGCAGCGGAATGTACGAAACGAACGACGTTGTTGAAAAGACGAGGAAGCGTTACCGGAGCCACCGCCGAGAGCTCGACGGACGTCGACGCAATGAGGCGGAGGAGTCGAAGCTCCCATGGCGTGTCCGCGTCACGATCTCCTTCGCCGATCAGACGCGACGGGACGCGAACGGCAAAGAGGTGATCGGGGAAGATGAAGGGACGGATAGAGAATACGAAAAGGCGGTCAGTCGAGGAAAAGGTAGCTTTTACTTTCTGAAAGTTAAATGGGGCTTGCCGAATTTCCACAATTGGCGCCAGCTGGTTTTTCTCTTTTTTCAATTTTGTCCCTGGAAGCAGGACTCGTGAAAGTAGAAGTTCAGGACAGGAGCAGCATTGAGCTTTGGTTCATGCCTGCCTTCCCCTCCATTTCCATCTACATGTACTAGTACTAAGTCGGCATATAAATGTACGAGGCGAACTATAGACGGCCATATGGTTCTACAGGTTCAAATCGTTTTGATATTAAGTTTTGCATGCGCGCATGTACCATTCAAGCACATTAAGGGTGCGCATGAATACCATTATGTGCCTGGAAACTATTTCTAAATAGAAATGATTTTTTTTTATTCTGTGCCCGGAAATAATTTCTGAGTATTTGAAGGCGTTTGATAAACTGTCCAAAATTTCTATTCCTAGAGTAGAAAAGAACATAAATGCGTTTGGTAACTACACAAAATTTCTGTTCTCAAATAATATTTTAATAATATTTTGAATTGTTAAATTTTTTTTTCTTTCTACCATTTTCTTCTTTGGCCATGGCCGGTCGCCGGCGACCGGCCATACATGCCCGTGGCAGCGAGGCGTCACAACCCTCGCCGGCCGCCGCGGAGGCGAGGGCGTCACGACCCTTGCCGGCCGCCGGGCGGAGGCGAGGCGAGGGCGAGGTTGGACCCTCGCCGCTCGGGCGAGGCGGCCTCGCCGTCGCAACCCGTGGCGAGGTCGACCTCGCCGTGGGTCGCGATGGCGAGGCTCGGCCTCGCCCGATCCGGGCGAGGCCGAGCCTCGCCGTCTCCGGGCGAGGCACCTCGCCCTCGCCTCCGCCGGCGGCCGGCAAGGGCCGTGACGCCCTCGCCGGCCCTGGGCTGTGGCCGGTCGCCGACGGCCGGCCCAGCCCAGGGAAGAACAACATAAAAATAAGAAAAGAAAAAAAATTGATTCTCAAAATTGTGCCGAGAAATAAGAAGCAACTTTTTTTTACTTCTTGTCTCTCTTCCAAAACTGTTTCTCGGCACAAATTTTTGCAAAAATGTGCCCGGGAACAAAAAGTTTACCAAACGCATTTCTATTCCCAAACTATTTCTGGGAACAAAAGAACAGAAATTTTCACTATTTGGCACGTTGCCAAACGGGCCCTAAGAAGCCGAAAATGGAATAGAAGAGAATTTATTGTTGAAGGTCCGTCCATCAAGAAAATTGAAGGGGGGCTATGCGGTTGTAAAGTTCAATCACATCTGCCACGAATGGCTCAACCACCGCTACTAGTAACTAGCACAAGCCCTGACCATGAACACCAGTGAAAGCAACCTCTGCACTACTAAAGTTTGCCCGACCACATGTGGTAAGATGGAAACTACGCATCTCTTTCTTGTCACTGAATCAACACCATAAAACCTTAACAATTTTGGGAAATTCTCGGCAAGCGTAGGTGGGGACGACAAGCTGTGCGAAGGAAAATAAATTTCCTAAAACAAAGCAACCTTAACGTTACAAAAATTAAGAACGGGATTGATCAGCTTGCTGCTTCCTCGACATTGTCCGAATCGCCTTCGTTGTCATCAGAGGACTCCTCTTCGGATGCTCTCCTCCGCCCAAGCTGGGTTTCATCTTCTTCTCCTTCTTCCTTTGCTTCTTCTTTTGGCGCTTCAAACACTTCTTTGCTGTATGTTCCTCTGCTGCTTTCAATCTCTCTTCCCTTCTCATCATATATTCGGCCATTTCTTTCCTTCTCTGGTAATCAGTGTCCATACTCGCCAGCCGGTCTTGCTCCTTCCTATTGCAAGCATAATTTGCAAATAATAAGTAACAAATCAGAGAGTGTACCAAGTAACAGAATACCAATGAAATAAAGAAACCATCCATTCCTATAAAATGAAATGAAAGAAAAAACCTTTCAATTGAATCGCCATATCCCAACCAATAAGACGAGTTTATCTAAACAGAACATGGCAGATCAGCTAACAATATCCAACAAAGAAGTGCACCTCATAAATAGTGTCAGTGTCAGTAATGAACACCGTAGACATCTCATTGCAGTAAAAGTTCGGAATACTAAATGCAATAAAAGAAAATATCTATCCATATAATGTTCTCGATTCACTGGCCAAAAGGGACAGCTCTTCTGCTAATGTGATAACCAATCAACTTCTGTACTTCTAACTTGACTAAGTATCACGTTTCCCTTTCAAGTCACTTTCGGTAGTATTCCTACGACTTCAGTAAAAACTTATACCATAAACTTTGTCTACTTGACCACATAGATATGCCATAAATAATAAAGATGAGCTCCTCCCTCTCGGCATAGTTAAAACCACATCCGGCACACATCCCCAAAAATGGTAATAATGGGGAGGTTAGATCACTGGACGTGTACATCACACAAATTTATTAAGTTAGGCAAGCTAGTGCTAATTATACTAATGGGAATTGAACATCTAGATGCAGAATGAAACAAAATAATGAAACAGAAGTATATACATCACAATTAAAAAAGGGAAGGATTGAAGCTCCAAGACAGCAGTAGAAACAGCTTTAGGATTGCAAGTAAAGCCTACAACAGCAATGCACCACTGCAAACAGTTTCCAAGAGGCCAAATCAATGTCTCTCTTTTTGCTCTGATCAGAATTAAGATATCTAAAGAAAGGTAATTGGCAAATCATGGCCATGACGTCGAATCTACATCCACCACTGCAATCTTACTTCTGAAAAGTTCCGGCTAAGATCAAGAAGCGCCCCACATTCTGGACACAACCACTACATCAAGTGTCCACTACCAATCTGAATCTCAGATTACCTCAACACCACAGATTATTCAACAACGTTCACCCCTTTTTTGCTCCAAGTGACCAGCAGATTTCACCAAACCACTGTATTCATGACAAAATCACCCCTTCTTAAGGGGTGATAAAGAAGCAATCTGTCAACCTGAATCTAAGATTAACTCAACGCCAAAGAGTATCCAAGCATTGTATTCATGACAAACTCATCCCTTCTCTAAGCTGTGATACCGAAGCATCCGCGCACAAGGTCTCTCTTGCACGGAGAACCTAAATGAAAAAAAAATCCAAAATTTAGAACTTGGGAAAACTGAACTGATGAAAATCGCCGGACCCTGAACCAGCAGAACTCCCAGAGGTGTTGCTAACACGGACCGGAACATTCTCTATGATCCGCCTTAGCTTAACCTCCAAGTCCTCCTCTTCCTCCTGGAGCAGCGGCGCGGTGTACTCCACGATCGCGTTGGAGTCGCCGCCAGCCGGGGGCCTCGGCGGGAGCCCCGACATCGGCTTCTCCGCCGCCGCCGCCAGCTGCAGGTCTCCGTCCCTGGGTTTGCCCGTCGACATGCGTTGCAATCAGGAAAAGCCCTAATCGCCGAGGGTCAAATTTTAGGGTTTTCCCCCAAAATTTTCCGGCCGGGAGTAAGAAATCCAGCTACAGAAGTCCGGATGGTTTGATCGGAAGGTCGATGAAGAACGAAAATGCGATTCGATCAGACGACTGAACTGGGATTGAAGCCGGAGATAAGTCGGTGGCGAGCGACGATGGATTCGGATTCAGTGACACTATCTTCTTTTTCCCTCCGTTTTGGTCCCTTCGTGCATGGATGCGTTTCCTCGAGTGGAAAGAGTGATTGGGCCTTGTTTGTGTCTCGTGCCGTGCCTGTTAGGGATGCAATTGCAAAATTAAGTTGATGATGATCAAAATTTTTGGTACATGCTTACTAGCACGTTTATTTAACTAAGTCTCTGTTTATTTAACAGAAAAAGATAACATTTCTAGAATATATTTTTCAGAAATTTTTTTAGATGTTTAGCTGATACGTGCAAAATAATTGGAAAATATTCTCCGTCGTTTGGAAAAGAAAATCTGATTTGATTTTCTTAAATACACATACACTATTTGTGTGTTGATACTTGAGCAGCCGGGAAACCAAGGATAGGATTCGGGATCTCAAGTCCAATCTCAATGGACCCTAACACGTGACCCTGACCCCAAGCACGGGCACTTGGGTCCTGAGCAAGAGCATAGGCATCAATCCCAAGTCCATAGAGGTCGAGCCCAAAGCTTCAATACTCGTGCCCGGATCCCTGGCATTCAGGCCTTGGTCAACAAAAGTTGAGTGCAGGACCTCAGTGCCTAGGCCTAGGCTCGTGTCCATAGAGGTTGGGCTCATGATCTTGCACTCGAGCTCGAGTCCCCAACAGTCAAGCCCTGGTCTATTGAGGCTAGGCCCGGGACGCTAATGCTCATGCCCGGTCCTCAAAGACCAGGCTCGGGTCCTTAGTGCCCAAGCCCGAATCCACAAAGGCTAGGGCAGGGTCAAGCCATGCCCATGCTCTAGTCCCTAGTACTCGGGCTCGAGACCCCAATGCCCATGCCCAAATCCCCAACGCCCAGGCCCATACCTCAGTGGACTCGGGCATAGGCACTAGGGTCATGCGAGTCACGGCCTTAACGGACAAGGCATCTATGCACAGGCATTAGGGTATCGGGCTCGGCTTTGATGGACCAAGGCCTGACCTCGGTGGATCTAGGCCCAAGCATCGGGGCCTGGGCATGGCACCGGAGTCCCGAGCCTTGGCCTTGATGTGCCTGGGCTCGATCGCGAGAGATTCAGGCATGAGTATCGGGGTCCCAAGCTCGGCCTCGATGGATCCAGACTCAGGTGTTGGGCACCAGAATTCCCAATCCCGACCTTAATGGACCTAGGCACAAGCGCCAAAGTTTGGGCATTAGCCTTGATGGGCTTGGGCTCGGGCTTGAGCGCGGGAGATCCAAGCACGGGCATCAAGGACCCAAGCCAAAGCGTCAGAGATCCGAGCGCAACCTGTGTAGACTCAAGCTAAGGTGCGGGAACCCAGGCATGGGTAACACTTAGCAAGGTCCCGCGCTCAACCTTTATGGACGCGTGTGTGGGTACCGGGGCATTAAGGATGGGAACCGAAGCCTTGGGCCTAACCTCGATAGATCCAGGCATTGGCGCTAGGGATCCGGGCATTAACACCGGGGTTTTACAAATTGTTTGGGATTTTTTTAGAGGGAGCCATTTTTTGGGGTACCCTTCTTTTTAGCGGACGATGATTTTCTATGGAATCTCAAATATTTTTTCATTAGTCATAAATATCACAACTAGCTTTATTCACATTCATTCTTTTTGTTTTAGTGGTCGGCCGGTGTCGGGCCAAATATTCACGCACCTTGATCTAGTTCACTTCTCCGGATGATCTTAATGGCACATAGTATTTTACTCTTGAAGTGACTTGAGATGTAGACACCGCAGGAGATGGAGAACCTCTATCATATTTTTCATCCTAAGCCAGGGCGAGCTTTCCCCGATAATCTGGGACATATTTCAACCTTTACACACTGTATTCTTTTTTCGTTGGATCGGTCAACCTCTAATGCTCTACTTTTTAAAATCCCAAAATTTTCAACGTTTCTCAATTAGCTCTCGAGGAAAATCTCTTAAAAGAACGGCATCTCACGCTTGATCTCGATGAAAGTCAAGTAGCCCTTTTTTACTTTTAGCCGGTTCATTCATCACCTACGCACGGTTTTATGTACATATTTAACTCGCGCGTGCAGTATGACATCACGACAGCCAATCACGAGACAAACGAGACAAACGAACGCTATCTACCTCCTGCCTAGCCATAGCCATGGGTTCAACATGGCCGTTTCCAAAGCAATGGCTCCTACACTAAAAGAAAACCAAGTTCATCCCAGGGTCAACGCGAATCCACAAGCGGTGGTCAAAGAATCGAGATGGGATACGCGATGAAAATCGAGGCATACAATATAAAAGCATTCCCTTCCCTTCTGATGATACGTCGCGAAGCACGTGCGAGATTCGCCAGGCACGTGCATCGTTTCCCGATGTAGATTTTGGTATTGCGGCGAATTAGTCCACGACGCATCGAGCTGCGTTCATCGGAGAACTGGCTTTTCGCCAATTTCATCAACTGTTGTAGCCGCCCGAAAAGAGGAAGGAAGAGCAAAATCCGAACGGCCGATGAGATCACGGATTCGAAGATTTCTAGCGATCAAGGCAAATGTGACGAAAGGTGCGCATGTGCCTTGGAACCCCAAAGCCAGTGAGAATTTTAGTTTGCGAGAATCGCACCGCATATTAAATCGAAGGAATTGTATTCTCTCTTATCGAAGAAAATCTCTCCACAGCTTGAAAGGCGAGCGACCCGAGATTGACGAGCTCGCCGCCACAACCATCGCTCGCAAGTCCGAAACCGAGACTTCTCTCCACACCATATCACAAACGGAAAATTATCGTATCGGGCGATGGCAGTGCTGGCAATGGCTGGTGGAGGGAAATAAGAAAAAAAAAAGGAAAAAGCAAGGAAGGAAAATAGAAATGAAAAAAAAAATGGGAAATTGAAAAATATTATTATAAATTGTTCGCGTCAATGATTGACGTGCTACGTAGGACGGCCAGTATCCACGTCAGCAATTTTTTGTCAAAATTAGCCAGATGGACTTGATAGGCCAAACTTGAAGAGGTTTAAGACTCGATTGGTACAATTAAAATGTTTAGTACTGAATTGGCAAAAGTTCAATAGGTTTACAACTTTTTGGACAATTTTCCCTATAACAAATGCTGGAGGTATAATCGTTAGCCAAAGTTTCGCTGGCGAGTTGGACTCCTCGTGACCTCATCGAAGAAGAGAAGATCATCATCGCTCGGCGATGGAGTTGTAGGGGGGTCGCTTCGAGGGAGCGCAAACACATTCTACATAAAATCCGATATCGTTTTGGAATCCCAAGAAGCTATGTGGTGGTGGATACGTATTGTCTAATTTGATCTGAAGATTCTGACATGTTGAACGATCTGTGAAGAAGCCAAGCACATGTGCACTGCCGAGAAAAGGGAAAGAGATGCGCATCATTAACCACACTTGGTGGGCTCCTATTATATTTAGTCAATTAGATCCCACATCGCTTCTTTCTTATCCCCTCATCTTGATCAAAATCTATGTGTAGATACAGATGTATAAATATATACATTTCGTGGTGCTACCAACACCGTGTTCGTTTTCAAAGCTTTGGCTGGTGTGTTTCCCCATCCTCCAGCTTCGGATAGTTGAAGCATAGTGTTTGAATGTCGACATTGCGGAACAATTACCAAAGAAAAAGTGATAAATTGATTGCACGAATATCAATTCGATCCGAAACTTTTTAATTGGGTCAATTTAGTTACAAATTTTTTTAACAATTTGCCAATGTAGTCTTTCTAACTAATTTTGATTGTTAATCATTGACGTGAATGCCACCCATCCTACATAGCATAGCTTGGCGTTGATGTAAACGATTTTTCTGATTTTTGAACATTTTATGAATATTTTTCTTTTTTTTCCTTTCCCTTTTCTTTTTTCTATTTTCCTCCGCCGGTCGCCAGGGCCTCGACAATGGCCCATGGAGGTCACCGGCCATAAGGTCGTAGATTTGGCAAGGCCGACACTCGCTTGTGCCCAGCGACCTTTGCTGGCCATTGCTGAGGTCTTGGCAACTAGCGAAAGGAAACAGGGAAAAAGAATCGGAAAATTTTTAAAAAATTGCAAAACCTGTCCATGTCTCTATCGAACCACGTACAATGATCGATGTTGACTGGACCGCCACGTCATCAAATTGTCAAAAGTTTTAAAACTAACTTGGCCAAATTAAAAAGTTTACAACCGAATTGGCATCTGTATAATATGTTTAAACTTTTTTTTGTAATCATATTGCCATCAAGACAAGGATAAGTTCAAGCGCGCACCCAAATTATGCTCGTGCTTTAGAACGTTTTTAACCAATTTACTTGCGGATAAGTCGAATGCTGCATAAGGCTTGACTACTCAACATTAGCAAAACAAGGACTCAAACCATTTCATTGCCTAATAACATCACTCTCAAAGAGCTTTAGCTGCGATTTCATCAAAAGGGTCGTATAGCATCGGTAAAATTCAGAGGATTGATCTACTACGTGCCTCCGTAGAAGTATCAATCCTGAAATTGTACCAAAAAGAAGAGTCAAATACATAGAATTTCTGACGGCAATGTTCCCGTGCGAAAAAAAATAAGAAACGTCAGAAAAAAGCACCATGCGTGAACCGTTGAGCTTTTCTTTACATAATTCGATAAGTTCAAGTCAAAAGTATCCCGGATGACGTGTTAAAGCTGTCCGAACGAAGTGCAAACGGTCGGGTTTCGTGTTCCGGTATTTGGCCCAACGACCCGAACCCGAAGCGACGGAGGGAGCTTTCGGCTTACGGGGGGGCCCATCCGGTTCCAGGTTGACCGGGGTGGGGCCCACAGACAGAGAGAAGCCGAACAACGAACACGCGACCGGTCAAATTTAAGCGGCACACGTTTTGATCGTGGTGCCGTGCCGTTTGACCCCGAGGGTTGCCGTGTGAACGCAGGAGACCCTAACGATCGCCGCCGTTTTGCGGTGGTTGGTACTGCGGAAACCCATCAACCTCCTTTTTTTTTTTTTTTTTTCCTTTTTAGTTGTTATAATTAATATCACTAAAAATCCAAAACCTATATAATTATGAAAATTTACCTTAAATTAATTTTTTGATCACAAAAAATTCTAAACCGGTACACCCGTGATAAATTTATCCTCCATTATTTTACATAAAATTTTATCATCAAATTGCTGAGTCGGATGGCACGTGACAATTTATTGGTGTACTAAGTTGGGGTTTTACCCACCGTTTGTCACTGGAGTATCGATTTTTTATTTTTCGTGGTATTAATCAAATTCAATGGAAACGGAAGGTAAATTTGTTATGCGTATACCGGTTTGGAGTTTTCGGTTGTCAAAAAATTAGTTTTTGGTAAATTTGTTACAGCTATACCAGTTTTGAATTTTTCGTGATTAAAATATTAATTTTAGGTAAAATTGTCGCAAGTGTACTAATTTGAGATTTTTTGTGGTATTAATCCTAGTTCTTATTAAGTTCATCCTCACCTTCACGTGAATCTGATCCTATTGGGGTTTCCGATTTTGTAAAAATTAACCGACTCCGCGTTTCATAATTGCGTTTCGGGATTTACTTTCCATAGTTAGCTTTGATGTCGATCTTGTGGGTGCCTTTTTATAAACAAGGAAATAAATCTTATACGGATGGCAATACGAGGTATTTAGATGTTCATCTCGCGTTAATTTGTTACGGAACAGGCGCGTCTTATTCATCTCGTCTCATGAATAGACTCATCTCATACGAGTTGTGTTATAGATGGAAGGTAATCCTCGTCTTATGGTAAAATATTAAATAGCCACAACGGTAAGGTAATCCGCGTCTTATGGTAAATATTAAATAGCTACACATACTGAATTTGAATTTGAATTCAAGGTTCTAATAACATCGTCTGAGATGGCAACACAATCTTGCAAGTCGTTTTCTCTAAAATTTGAATTCAAGGTTCTAATGACCTATCCAGTCACGTGTTTTAAGGCTACCCAAGTTCCATTTGTAGTCTTAATTAAACGATTGCAGTGAAGTATCATTTCTAATGATCACGATTTGCTGTTACAGTCCACTGACCTCTACCAATAATTAGACATACGAATAATACGAAACATTAACCAAAGTAAAAGTCTTGGTCGTGGATATCGTCAGAAATAGAAGTTCAAACTAGTATTTTCATATTATATACTAACCATCGAATGCCATGGAATACTGCTAAAATATAAAACAAGAAAAACACTAAGACTTGTTTCAGTGGAACTTGAAATCTACTCGTCAGAACCGGTTCTTCAATTCTTGAAACCCAGAATTTACCCTGCATTCTCGATTTTACCATTAAATTATGCTCACCCTCCTAAGCGGTCATACTTTAATAATTTGTAATTTTTTTAGTAGACCCCCGTCAAACACGCGAAAAAAGATCGCCGACCTTAAGGTGGTATGTAATGCAAAGAGTTTGGCCTCAAAACCAAAAACGCCTTTCTGTTGCATCGCAAACTGTTCATCATATTCCCAAACGTTAAAGCGAAAGGGCCAAAATATTAAAATCGACCCTCCTTTCGAATTTTTTCCGTTTCGCAGTTTTGAAAAGTCTCTTTAAGGTCGCACGAATTTCGCGCAGCGTAATTCAAAAGTTGCGCGATTTGAGAAGGAACGAAGGAAATATAAAAAGAAAAAAGGGAAAAGGGAAAATAAGTTAATCGAAAAGTGGGTTTGATTAAAATTTTAGGCCGTGCCGTTGGGGATGGGAGCGGTCGCGTGTGGGGTCGGGTCGCCAGCCTGGACCTTGACAGCTCCTCCGCAATCATGCTTTCTCCAATTCCCGCGACCGCTTTTGTCGTTTTCCCCTAACTCCAACCCTTGTCCTTTTCTCCACCTCATTCCCTTCCGTGCGCACCTTTCACAAAAGCCAATAAATTTTTATTTATTAAAATTAATTTCTTAGCTCGTGCTTATTTATTTGAATAGCCGTTTAAAAAATATATATAATTTTTAATATATAAAATAAAGTGTCTCATGGATGTCTTAAATATCGAAATTTGAAACTATTCTCAGAAAACATGTTTAGCGACACTCGAGGTCGTTAACAAGATCCTCTGTTGAAAGCTTTCGAAAGCTCGTGTTAAGCAATTAAAAATCACGTTAATGAGCGTATTCGAAATAATGTTAAGCACGATCAATATGTAATAATTCCGATTTTGAAGTGTCAATTACATTAAAAAACAAGAAAAATTAACTCGCGTTCACATTATATATAAGGCACTCATCACCAAAATCCAAATATTAATTATGAACATAGAGTATGATTTTCTTGTCAATGAATACCAGTGATTTCGTGTAAAAGTAAAAACTTTACGGTGGTTACGCCTCGGATTCACTCAATAGGTATCCCAAAGACAACGCATAAGCACCTTAATGAAATAATATGTTATATTTTCAAGCACTTCTCACCTAATTAAATCCATTAAATGGGTGGGTCTAGTCAAGTTTAGGTTTGTTTGAAAATGGTCGTATAAATATGATGATCCATATCAAATCCCGATCCATATTGTTAAAACGCTTTCATATTTAATCAAATCCAGAAGCACTTATATAAAAAACTAAAGCGAGAGCATGGAGTCAGCGATCGCATCGAGTAAGAGCAAGAGATAGTAGATTATGGACCCATTTAATACCCATATTATTTTGAGTTTTATCATTATAAATACATAAAAATGACCTATTTAACTAACCTATAATATAACCCAGCCTTTCACATACGAGTTTAAGATAGGTATTATATGATCTATTTTGACAGGTCTATGCGCATTGAATAATCATTGTTTTGAAAATTAAGTTTTCCAAATTGAGGATAGAAATACTAAGTAAGTATTCTGGAGACACCTATTAACAGGATACTTACCAGAAATTTAAAAAACAAGAGAGAGAAGAGGTTAATAACTTATTATTATAATAAGCTTTCCACGTAGGTTCGGTCAAACTTATCCTAGTCCCCTTACTGTCAACACCACCATCCCCTCCCCTCCTCAGTATCTCTCGCGGTACGCTTTCGCCACCTGAGCTCTTTTCACCTACTCCACCCCCCTCCCCTTCCAACTTCCATAACTGTCGTGACCCCCTTAGATAATTCGGGAAACCGCCTCGATATCTTTCCGTTCCCGCGAGATTTTAGTCCCCGTTCTTTTCGTTTCGTTATTCTCGCGTCCACGTGGCGGCCCTCCGTGGTTATCCAGCTGGCGTGTCGACTCACCGGCTACCGGGTAGCGCCGGTTCACACCATCGCTCGTTGGACGGCCCTCTTGACGCGACCGGCTCTACCGGTTGCCCCAAGCGCCCCCTCCCTTTATAAACCCACGCTTCTCCTTCTCTGTTCAGTCCTGAGTCTGAGTCGAGTCGAGTCGCGTTCGCATGACGACGACGACGGCGCTTCCGGGATTCGAAAGATCGATGGAGTCGGACGGCGCGGTGGAGGCGTCGCAAAGAGATGCCGCCGATCGGGTCAAGGGCCCGTGGAGCCCCGACGAGGACGATCTGCTGCGGAAGCTGGTGGGGCGCCACGGCGCCCGGAACTGGTCCCTGATAAGTCGGTCGATCCCTGGGAGATCCGGCAAGTCGTGCCGCCTCCGGTGGTGCAACCAGCTCTCCCCGGTGGTGGAGCACCGCCCCTTCACGGCGGAGGAGGACGATCTCATCCTCAGGGCGCACGCCAAGTACGGCAACCGCTGGGCCACCATCGCCAGGCTCCTCAGCGGCCGCACGGACAACGCGATCAAGAACCACTGGAACTCCACGCTCAAGCGCAAGTACGCCGCGGCGATCCCCGACGGGGATTCCGCGGGGGCGCGGCAGCCGGAGGAGAAGAAGCCTCGCAGCGGGAGCTCGGGGACCCCGTCGAGCTCGGAGCTGAGCGATCCGGTCGCGCCGTCCGGATCCGATTCTCAGCTGCAGCCCGTGGCGGCGATGACCGTCGCCGACTTGGCGGCGCCGGTACGCGCTCGCAGCGAGTCGCGGACCGTGGACGATCGGGAAGACGACGGCCCTTCGACCGAGCTGACGCTGTCGCTTCCCGGGAGCGAGCCGAGCGAGCCGGAGGCGAGGAGGGACGACCCGAGCCAGGACAGGGGGACGACGGCGTGGTTCGGGCCCGAGTTCACGACGGCGATGCGGTCGATCATCAGGACGGAGGTGAGGAACTACATGACGGAGCTGGAACGAGGCGCCCCCTTGCGCTGGGGCAACGAGGGCTCCCGAAACGACGCCGCGCGGCTAGTCTGAGTCATCGGAGACGGAATAAACAGAAAAAATTTTGGGTGCGAATTAAATTTTAAATAGACGGATTTATTTTTGAGGCTGTACATGAAATATACAAAGCGGAGTGTTGCGATCGGGAGATAATATGATGGTGGGTTCTAGACTTTTATTTTGTAATAATTTTTTTAATTTTATTTTATTCCGTTAGACAATATATTTCATCGTAAATCTTTTCAAATATATGTATGTATTATTTCAAAATTTGGAATTTCTATTTCCTTAAAAGCGTTTTTGACTGTTAGATATGGTAAGGCTTGCCTAAGTCGGAACAAATAAGGAATCTCTACGAGGAAAAGTTAGGGACGGTTAGCGCCTTGTGCGTAGCGTGAGCCGAGCGGCCAACGGAAAGGAAGGCGACTCGAATTTGGGAAAAAAATCTGGGTTGCCAGTTTCGGGATGCATTTAATGTCGGATTTGGTTTTTGTCTTTTTGCTCTTTTTTTTCATTAAAAGAGCACGTGATATTCTATTCTATTTTTTTAATTTTGCCTGTAGAAGATTTGGATATGGACTGGGTGTCAGTTCCACGTATACCTAGGATAGGATTGGCATCGAGCGATTAGCATGCGAGTTGTCGTCCCCCTTTGTCCAACGTGAGATTTGGATATGGTCATGGTAGGATGACTCTGACCAAAAAAAAAAATGGTAGGATGACGAGTTTTACCTTGGGGGGACTTGTTGAGGTGGTTCGATGTTTAGATCTTAGTGCGACCGTGCAATGAGACGTGAGATACAAATCACTTCGGATTGATAAGATTTTAGTTATTTCTCATTTCTCGTTTAGAACTTGACATGTCAGAGTATGCGTGCCCCTGAATGTCACTCCAAATAAGCCCGAGATTGAGCTTTGGAATTACGGTTTGCAAGTGGACTTTAGTTATAATTACGTTCGTGCCATATTGCTTTATATTTGTTCTACTAGTCTAAACGGATTAGAAGTTCATGTTTAAAGCATTGTGGAATGGTTCTTTCCCAAGCACGACATGACTGAATCCCAATGCATCATCGACCGTTTTAAAGGAAAATCGAAAGTATCAAGATATAGCACAATTTTTTTTACAACATCAAGGAAAAGTCTCGATTCCGTTATAAGTTTCGAGATAAATCTAACGAGAAACTATAATGGGTCGTTGTCATATGTCCAATAATATTACAAAGTAGGCAATGACCGGAATTATATTGGTACGGAATACTTGGAGTCGTATAAGCTCGCTTATTAACGAACCTTTTACAAGGGCAACATCCTGCTTAACACAGCACGCAGTCAAAAGTGATTTTTCGAATATTGCAGATGTTTGCCGTGATTTTCATACCAGTCTTACCAAAGGGTGGCAACCATAAACGACTCGTTGCGCGAAATTACGATGATGACCTTGACCACCAGACCACCCGAAAGATGTAAAAAAGCTCCCGACTCAAGCCCAAGAACACAGGCCTGGTTTCATCAGGTTCAGCTAAGCTGGGCTTAGGCCCAATCAAAGCTAGTCGGGTTTTGCCCATCGACCGGATCCGACCCGGGGCGGTTGCTCCACCCCCATCCAATTCCGAGGTTCTTCGACTTTGCATTTGGCAAGATCGCAGAGAGAGCTGACATCGAGCGATCGATCGATCAGAGGTAGTTGACAGACCGTGCCGGAGAGAGCGAGAGAGCTGCTTCGATTCTGCAATTGTTCCGATCAGGGAGCTTCTGCGAAGCGAATAGAGAGAGAGGAGAGAGGATTTCGGAAGAGATGTTGCCGACGGCATCCAGGGGGCGGTCGTCGTCCTCCGCCTCTCGATCGAACAACGTTTTCGCTCCGTACCTCCGCAGAATTGTCAAGGTCCCCTAATTTCCCTCCCTCTCTCTCCCGTTTTCTGGATGTGAATTTTTTCGGCTAGTAGCTCAGTATGTCTGATCTCCTTACGGTCGCATCTTCCCGCATTCTTCGCTGGCGATAGGATGCTAGTCAATTGGCCATGTGATGTAGGAGTTCGATCCTGAATGTATGTGAACGACTCATTAGTTTTTGATTCGTGTATGTCTCGGAAAATTTCCACCCTCTAGCTAACTTTGCGCTTGCATTAACTCGCTTCTGCTGGGTCTTGGGGGACGGAGAAAGTGATGGTGTTGAGCTGTTTTGGGGACTCTCTGTAGATATTTTTTTCTCTGTGATTAGTCTGGATATAATCTGAGCGTGGCTTGATCCGTGCGTGAGAAGTTTGAGTTGGAGATTTGTTGCGCTGCTCAATGTTCGGTGTTGCCAGCCGAGGTTCCGTGGGGGGACATTGTCCTTGTTAGCCATCAAGGCCTGGCGATTGAACGTCGCATGGCAATTTCTTCTCCTATTGAGAACTCAAAATGCTCTGCTCCGGTGCAGCGTACAGAGCTTTATAGCTGTTACAATTGTCGCGCGATCACTTTCGAGCCGTTTTGACAAGAGAAGTTTGGAATATAGCTTATGTTCTGCATCTTCGCAAATTACATTCGAGGTTGCTTGTTAGGTCCATTGTGGTATTTGTAATTAAGAGAGGGACCCAACAACATAGCTTGTCAAGAATGTCGTGTGTGTGTCGTATATTTGCAAGCGACGGTCTAATGTGCAGTCTCGTTGTGGTATGATACACTGCTGTCGGTTTTGCTTCCGAAATTTCTGGGATGTACATTTCATTGATCTGGATCCCAAATGATCCACAACTGGTACTGTCGGGTGTGTTCCCAATTGCAAGTTCCTCTGTCGAAGCCTGTTTTCATGTTATGGGCCCTACTACGTATACTATCTATATTATTCATTATGGTTCTTTTCTTGCTGGTTCATAAATTTGTTCATGTTTTACAATTGGAAATATGGTAGCAATAGCATTGATCAATGATTTATTGGAGATCAATTTTTTTGTCGGAATGTTCTTACCTGCTGCTGTTGCTTCTTTTTCGTTCTCCCGCTTCTCTGGTTAATGCAGTGGCAACAAATGGACATCGAATATACATTCTGGCAAATGCTTCATCTGTGTACATCACCAAAAGTTGTGTAAGAATTCGAATCTTGATCACCGTTCTAGTCATTCTTTAATATCTGTCATCATACTTTTCATTGAGCTTTGTTTTTTTTTTCTTCTGTGAGTATTTCTCATGGTTGTATTATACATTACTGATCTTCTTGTTAGTCTAGGGTTTTTGGAGTTGGATTGTACCAAATTAACTGACTGGATTAGTTTTATGTCTGGCATGTGCGATGGGGCAATGAATGCAGATATCAGCACACAAAGTATCACAAGCGTAAGTCCTCACATTTGCAAGTTTCCATCCACTTGGTTTACAGTAATATCAGTTTCATGTAGTTAATTCAGGCTGTGTGCTCCTTGAATGTATATGCTCTAAATTTTGTGCTTTGTTTGTCACCCTTACCTCCTCACATTATGTCTAGTCTAACATAAATTCCTAATTTAGAATCTAGAATTGCTGAGTGTCGTGGGCGGAATTTTGTGTTGTAAATGAGATGATTTTCTGATTGTTGTATCTTCCCCTTGTTTCTCCCCTCTTGTTTTGGCTTTTTGTCCTAGGCATCTGTGGATTGACTTTATTGTAAGATATACTATGAAAGTTGCTGCCAAATGTTTGAAGTGGTCAAGAGGTCACTTTGTCCTTCCTTTCCTTGTCTCAGAAACTAAGAACCAGTGGGCACGTGATGATCCGGCATTTGTGGTGATCAGCAGTCTTCTTTTGGTAGTCGCAGTATCAGCTTATTGTGCTGCGTAAGTTGCATATCTGTTTTCGTTAGCTTCTTTTTGTAAATTGGGAAGAACCGATCTACTTGGCTTATGATACACATAACTTATGGTGTATCACGAAAGAATGGGAAGACCAAAAGTAAAAACTTTGAAAAATATTTGGTTCCTAGTCAATTGCATATAGATAGTTTTACATGAGATGCTTTCTTCCATGATTAGCTGCATGCCTTTGGGTTATTACATATGCACATGTCATTTGCAAGTCTTTTCTAGACAGTTCTTTGCTCATCATTTTTTCTTTTGCATCTGTTCTTTACTTCAGGTATGACCACAGCGTTGCACATGCCGTTTTTGTAATTATTTCAGTGTTACTTTTCCATTTTTTGGTGACTGGAGCTATCTTGTCTACTTTTTGTTGGTAAGAGCCTCTTGCCTATGGTAACTTAGCTGCAAATTTTAATCCTTAAATTTCTTTGGGCTTTTCATTGACACAGTTCAGGTCAATCAAGCTAATTACTGACTTCCTGTTTGCCACCCTGAAGGAGAGTTAAATAGTCTTTACAGAGTTCGCCAAGAGAAAGGCAAACTGCAATTGCATCGGTGCAATAAAAGTGCATTTGATTTTCCTTCTTGCGAGTTTTGTGAAATGTGCTTGAGTATTTGTTTAGTAGGCTTTAATCATTACCATACGAATTTTACGGAGTCATCTTTGGTAATGGTAGCCAGAGGCATATCTATTGACCATGATATTAGTTGCTTATGTATATATTTTCTTAGTTGTTCATATTATCAGCATGTGCATTCGATGTTCTTCCTGAATTTGGTCCTTTGGGTCCAGTATTGATGATTAGCACTAATAGCCTATCATGATGACGCAATGGAATGTTTGTTAATCCGATGCCCAGCGATCAGTTTTTTTCTTTGGCATTGGATTGGATGAAAAAAAATCTGGTGCTGTCTCTATCTTATCTAGAATAACTACGTTTATCCTCTAACTACAAGCTGAACAAAGGAAATTTTGCTTCTCACTGGAAGGACCTGGGACAGATTTTCTGTTGGTGGAGGTTGATCCCCAATCACTTCTGGTTATCATCTCTGTGCAAGTTAAATAAAGAAACAATGGAAGCCATTTTGCAAAATAAACAAAATACATCTACCAATAATTTGTATGAGTTAATATTTAGTGCTGTATTAGTGTAATATCCATTTTCATTCTTTGATTTTCTTGCAGGTTCTTGACAAACAGCTATCTTCGGGAGGAGGCTCCAAATAGTCATGTGGTTGAACAACGCGTCGAATGGCAAGTCTTGAAATTCATCTTCCCTCGTGTTTAGTTGTTCAGCGTCAATTTCTTCAGTAAAGCTCAAATAATCGGTCCTTGAAATTTTCAACTTTGGCCCTTATGTTGATCATGTGGAGATTTGATTTCTATAATTCTGCACTCTGTTAAGATGACAATCTCGCTAGCATTGTGGCAGATACTTTCATTTCCTAACT